GCCCCATGGTGGAGCTGTGGGGTGGGTATGGGGCTCCTTGTCCCCGGGGCGGGCGTCGGGATGGTGGTTGAGGGAGCAGCGTGCCCCGGAGCTGGGGGGCTTGGACTTGGCCTGGGGTGCTCAGCCAGAGGTGGGGTCACTTCATGGGGTGGGGTCTGCTCTTCCTCCCCGGTAAGTCCTCCAAGGTGCGGGTGCTGCCCACATCTCTTCACGGAGAAGCGGCCAAGACCCTTGGAGATGCGGTGAACCCCTTGGAGATGTGGGGAACCCCTCGGAGATGTGGTGAACACCTTTGGAGAGACACTGAGCTTGTGCTGAACCCCTTGAAGACATGCTGAAGCCCTCTGAAGACGTCCCAAACACCTTTGGAGATGTTCTGAACCCCTTTGAGATGTGCTGCACCCCTTCAAGGTGTGCTGAACCCTTTGGAGACAGGCTGAGCTTGTGCTGAACCCCTTAGGAGATGTCTTGAACCCCTCAGAAATGAGCAAGCGGCCAAGACCCTTGGAGGAGATGTGGTGAACCCCTTGGAGATGCTGTGAACCCCTCGGAGATGCGGTGAACTCCTTGGAGATGTGGTGAACACCTTTGGAGAGACGCTGAGCTTGTACTGAACCCCTTGAAGACATGCTGAAGCCCTCCGAAGACGTCCTGAACACCTTCAAGATGTGCTGAACCCCTTTGAGATGTGCTGCACCCCTTTGGAGAGGTTCTGAACCACTTTGAGATGTGCTGAACCCCTTTGAGATGTGGTGCACCCTTTCAAGGCGTGCTGAACCCCTTAGGAGATGTCTTGAATCCCTCGGAAATGTGCTGAACCCCTTCAAGACATGCTGAGCTCCTTCGAGATGTGCTGGACCCCTTTGGATGCATCCCGAAGCCCTTTGGAGATGCGCTGAACCCCTTCAAGATATGCTGAACCCCACTGGAGACATCGTGAACTTCAAGATGTGCTGAGCCCCTTAGGAGATGTTCTGAACCCCTTGAAGACGTGATGAACCCCTTCAAGACATGCTGAACCCCTCTGGAGGTGTCCTAAACCCCTTGGAGATGTGCTGAACCCTTCTGGAGGTGTCCTAAACCCCTTGGAGTTGTGCTGAACCCCTTCAAGACATGCTGAGCTCCTTCAAGACATGCTGAACCCCTTTGGAGACATCCTGAACCCCCTTGGAGATGTGCTGAGCTCCTTCAAGACATGATGAACCCCCTTGGAGATGTCCTGCACCCCTTGGAGATGCGCTGCTGACCCACCCTAAAACCCATTTTGGAGGCTGAGGGCACCGACGGTCATTAACAACCCTGACCATCCCCACTTGGGACCCCCACCACCCCCTGCCCCACGGCCCAGGGGCTCCAGCTGGGCTGAGCCCCGGGGATTTTGGTCGATCTGCAGAACATCTCGGAGGAGTGTGGCCACGGACCCTGCTGATCTGTCCCGCGGGCCGCCATCTTGGTTTGCCTCTCGCTTGGATGGGTGGCATGGGGCTGTGACTGGTGTCTTGGGGTGGGATTAATTGAATTTCTTCTCCTTGGTGTTCACCTCGGGACACGCTGGGGCCCAACCCTCCCCCATGGTCCAAGCGGAGTGGCCTCTTGGGCTTAAAAAGGTGGTTTTGATGCTCTCAGTTGTCCAAGTGACCACAACCGAAGGGTTCAGCTGGTGAAGGCTCAACACTTCCCTCCACCCCGACACATTTTTACCGGGCAATCCAACTGGAAACCCAACCAAAGAGGGGAGAAATCCTTTGAAATTGGTTCTTGCTGTGGTTTGAAGCTTCTCCATAGGTCTGAAGCTTCTCCAAAGGTCTGAAGCTTCTCCAAAGGTTTGAAGCTTCTCCAGAGGTTTGAAGCTTCTCCAAAGGTCTGAAGCTTCTCCAAAGGTTTGAAGCTACTCCAAAGGTCTGAAGCTTCTCCAAAGGTTTGAAGCTTCTCCAGAGGTCTGAAGCTTCTCCAAAGGTCTGAAGCTTCTCCAAAGGTTTGAAGCTTCTCCAGAGGCTGGAAGCTTCTCCAAAGGTTTGAAGCTTCTCCAAAGGTCTGAAGCTTCTCCAGAGGTTTGAAGCTTCTCCAGAGGTCTGAAGCTTCTCCAGAGGTCTGAAGCTTCTCCAAAGATCTGAAGCTTCTCCAGAGGTCTGAAGCTTCTCCAAAGGTCTGAAGCTTCTCCAAAGCAAACGGAAGAGGAACGCCCACTTCTCAACCCACCGAAGGAAAGGACCACTGGGCCACCAGGGTAGCTAGGCTCTAATTTATTACTACTCATGGAAAGAAAGCGACTCCAAAAATAATCCCCCCCAAAAAAACAAAAACCAAAACAAAAAGGACGTGAGCCGCGGTGACGAGGCGGTCCCCGAACGCGGACGCGGAGGGGACCGTTGACAAGCAGCACAGCGACATGTCCACGCCGGTTTCAGAAGCACGGACGACACCAGAAAATAGATAAATTTCACTTAAATCGGGGTTTTCGTCCCTCCCCCCCCCTCCCCCCCAATATCCTCGCCGAAGCCCTTCGTGGTCGTTCGTCCCCTCGTGGCTCTGTTTTGGGACCTTCTGCCCCACGGCACGGTCACCGTGTCCTCCTCAAATCAATTATCTGAACTCCAGGGGTGGGAGGTTCTTGACGTCATCCCTGTCCCTCCTCTTCCTCCCCATCGGCAAGGGCCGGGGCTCCACTGGGTGATGGGGAGGGGGTTTCATGTCCGTCCCCACCCCCGCTTTGGTGACCCCATCCACAGAGCCCGGCGTCGGAGAGGTGACCAAGCCACCGAGCTGCATCATCTCACCACGCCCTTCGTTTTGGGCTCATTCGGCCCAAAATGGCCGCAGACCCCCAAGGCAGGGCTTGACGTCATGGCCATGCCACCAGTGACATCCCAGTTGAGCCAGCAGTGACATCCTGGTTCCACCATTGGTGACATCATGCTTGTGCCAGCCATGATGTCATGGTCATGCCACCAGTGACATCCCAGTCATGCCAGCAGTGATGTCCTGGTTCCACCATCACAGATGTCCTGGTTCCACCATTGGTGACGTCCTGGTTCTAACATTGGTGACATCATGGTTGCAGCAGTGGTGACATCATGGTTGCATGAGCGATGACAGCCTGGTTGGGCCACTGGTGACATCATCGTTGTGCCAGCAGCGACATCCCAGTTGAGCCGTCGGTGACATCATGCTTGTGCCAGTGATGATGTCATGGCCGTGCCAGCAGTGACTTCCCAGTCATGCCAGCAGTGACGTCCTGGTTCCACCATCGGTGACATCCTGGTTCTACCATCAGTGACATCATGGTTGCGTCAGTGGTGACATCATGGTTGTGCCCTTGGTGACATCATGCTTGTGCCAGTGATGACGTCATGGTCATGCCACCAGTGACATCCCAGTCGTGCCAGCAGTGACATCCTGGTTCCACCATCACTGATGTCCTGGTTCCACCATTGGTGACATCCCAGTTGAGCTGCCGGTGACATCATGGTTGCGCCACCCCGTTTTTGCCGCGGGATTGGCCGGGGAGCCAAGAAGGTCCCCAAAACCACGTCACGCAGCGCCGGGGACAATCCTCAGGGGCTGGGCAAGGGGACGGCGCAGCCCCGTGTCCCGCGGCCGCATCCCGCGTCCCTCCCCCCCCCCCCAGCG